CCGCATCACTCGTGAAAATAACTTCCATACGCAACGAAAGCCGCGGGCAGCGTGTGGGGTTCTGTCATATACCAATTCAAGAATCTTATACAATAATGCTTGTAGTAGCCCCAATATACCTATGGATTGTTGTCAACAGTTTGTCACCTTTTGATTTCTTTTGATTGTCTTCACTTTAGAATTCTTGGTTTGTTGCTTTTTGTCATTCCTTCTTTCTCACAAAAATATCATTTTGTACCTGTCTGATGACCGCTTCTTGTGGCTGATGACAGACAAGTGCAAGTAAATTCCCATACATCCCAGGTAGAATTCACAAATAGTGTAAAACTGTCTAAGATTATATTTATAATATGCTGGTTTAGGTAAATGCACTAATCTCTTCATATTCTGAATGTTAATTGCTCAGATCATCCATAACATTGAACTACTCAAACAATACAAACGTCTATGTAACTATTAAGAGTGAATATTACTTGTTGAATAACTGCACAACAAAAGCAAATTATATGATATTCACAACGATATTCGTGATGTTTTATGCATACATGTATTTATTAGCATTGGATAATGCATACATACACATTTTGACTTATTAGCATTATGAGTATCATTTTTGTAAAGTTGTTCAAAAATAAATAAATTGATAATGCCAATACTGAAGAGTCAATCAGCATGCAAACTTTGACAAAATCAGAGTACTCTAACAAAAACCACTATTCTAATAGACAACACATATTAGATGGTTTAGAAAACATTCACATATAAATTTTAAAAAAAAACTGATAAAATATTACATTATAATTTTGATGCGATTGCAGCATGAATGTTAAAACGGCCAACTAATGTATGTAGCTTTCCATGTGTACTTGCTCTCTTTGATAACTTGGTAGTAAGTTGGTAGCGTCAGCTGCCAACTAAAAATACACCTGCTTTGCACTGTGCCATGGCTGTCAAAACAAAGCCTGAGAGGATAAATTATGTGTAACTTTTCATCCAGATCTCAGTATACACATCTTAAATAGTATTACCAGATATGTTTGTTTATTCTGGTAGAGTGTTGATAGTGGATGATGATATTAACATACAAAGCATTGCACCAAAAATAGAAGATATTGAAGAAGCCCCATTTCTGGATGAAGCTCCACAGGTAGCTGGTATGACAGATGATAGACCAGAGGATATAATTGTAATAGAAAAGTACAGATCGGATGGAAGATGGAAAACAATGGGAGAGGGTAAAAAAAAAACATATTATGTGTACACTGAGAGTATTCATTGTTATTCATCATACCTTATTGTGTGAATACTTAATAGTGATTTTGATTTAACAGGGATTGCCTTAACCCCATATTGTGCTTCCCTGACTCCAATTATTGAAGAGGGACCCAGTTTTCAGGCAAGCTGGGGTCCAATCTCCAATAAAGTTATCCAGGGTCAAATTTCAATTTCTTAAAATTTTGTAAGTGGGACTCGTCTTGCCGAGATACCCTGGATTATATTGCTGTACTTATTTAAAGTGATTTGTTTGTTTACTTATTTAAAGTGATTTGTTTGTTTACTTTTTTAAGATAAAAAGCCTAGTATAGCTGTTCAGGATTCTGGTTCTGATGATGATTTGCCGCTGCCAAAAAGGAAACCAACACGACATGACTCTGACTCAGATTTATCACCTCCAAGAATACGACTTGATTCGGACTCAGACTTGTCTCCTCCTAGAAGCAACTCACAAAAAAGATTACAATCTTGTAAAAATAATAATTCTGATAACTGGGATTCAGATCAAAGTCCTCCAAGGAAATCCAAACCTAGTAAGACCCTGTCTGGAAATAGAGCAGGATTGTCTGATGCTGCAACACTGCGACGTGAAAATGATCAAAGAAGACAAAGAGATAACCAAACATTTGATAACTTATCAGCGGAGATCTCTGGAAGAAATGCAGGCAAGTTACTGTGATCCTATCCAAACAACTTATTGTATCAGGTCATTTAAGGTAGAGATGCAGTTTATTTGGCTTGCTTTTTAATTGAGTAATTAGACAATGAAGATGATATTATATATATCCAACATGTTATATATTTTCTGAAAGCTTATTATACAAACTTTGTAAAACTTGTCTTTATTTTAAATATTCAGAATGCGTTTTTGATTTTGGGTCAAAAATATGCTTTTTTGGGGCAAAAGTGGTTAAAAACAATTAGCTTAAAAACTTCAAGTCCGTTTGTGGGTAAAATTACATCACTGGATACCTTGGTATACTACTAATTCAAATGCGTCCACTCATCTCTCTAACGGCTTTCAAAGTCGCACAGCATGACCTCAAAGTTCACTCTTTTCTATTTTTGCATAATTTATATATGTATATTAATTGCGGACTTGTTATTTTTGTTCTACTCGCCGTAATAAACTGTCCGGATGCATTTTGAAGGGGGAGCACCTTGTCAATAATGTGTGAAAATTTCAAGGCAAATGGCCAAATCATCTATCAGCTATTTCAATTTAAAACGAAAGAATTTACCAAAAATAGAAGACGAGAAAAAGGCTAATTTGCATATTTGTGCGTCAAACCGGGAATTACTGCTTTGTCATACTTTGTCATACTTTCTAGACTATTGAAATTGAATGTTAACATATAGACATATACATTTGATGTAAAATCGTTGGACCAGAACAACTGCTCTTGAATATATGAATCAGAAACACGTCATTCGTACCAGTGGCAAACGCGTGGCAATGCCCAGTAAATATTACGTCCTCTCATGAATTATTAAACAGGGGGCGGTCCTAAGAAGGTGACTTTTTATCACAACCAAAACATCATGGCTTCTCTTCGATGTATTTTCAATAAAAAATCTACGAGTATTTCAGAGCCTATGGTTTACCATGAAGAATACAAAGTGGGATATTAAATTATTTATTCGCGATGATTTTTACGTAGTATTAAGAACCAACTCCAGGAAGCGAAAGCACAATAATGAATAATCGCGTAACCCTAGAATTGAAACGCGAGGCACAGAAGTTTTGTTCAGCGTTTCACATCCCATTTTTCCCACTGCAACATATTTGTTAAAAGAAATATTTTAATTCTGTTCGTTTTTTACGGAGGCAATTTTTTTTTTTTGATTTCGGTACGCACTATTCAGGGATTTTCTAAGACAGTCGCAGACAATCAGCTCACGGATGTACATACAAAACATGCTGCTGTACTATCGGCGACGACCGCCTGCAAGAAGAGAGCTCCTGCACCTACCATAAAAGTTCTAAAATTTAGACGGTTTTAAATAATTAGTGTTGGAAATCTGGAAATGTTTTAGAGTGCAAAATTAAGGTGCATTTTCAAACGGTTGAATTTTTCAGAATAGAAATCAGCAAATAAAAAAAATGGGGATGCTAGACAGTGTGCTTTGTTAGTTTAAACAAAATGGAATGTCCGTCAAATTGACATAAACTTCCCCATGTTTCACGGTAAAAGCAAAGGTCGTGGCCAAGTTGTAGACTAAAAAAAAATCAAAATCAAAACAAAGTCATCAATCAGTAAGTATTATGACAAGGAAAACAAAACATCAGACAGAGAAGAGTTAATGTATCAAGTCACCTCTGTCTGTGATTTATTTTTCATGGAAATTATTTGCTTGTTTTCAATTAATTTTAGCGTACCTCTGCAATTTATTCCGGTTACGGACAAAGCTGTCTCGCACTACCTAGCAAAACTTGCGAATGATCGAACTACCATTGACCCATTGACAAAAGATTCATGAAAGTTTGTATCTCCTCGACCCAGTGCAATATATCCAGTTAGAATCAAAGCTCACATGTTCCTCATTTGAGGGACCAGATTCTGCCGTAAATTTGGGATGGGATTTGGAAAAAATAAAATGGGACTTTTAAGGTGTATTTTTGTGCTATTTTTCGGATATTTCAATCATTTCTGATGCCTAAAATAGAGTCTAAGTTGTACCGTAGTCACTGACGCCTATTTAAGAGTACGATGTTTATCATGACTGGCGTGAATGGGTAAGCTTCGTTTCGACAATGAGCTGTTATCACTGTAAACAATGTTAAATTATTCTTCACATGCTAAGTTTTTTTTGGGAAAATAATTATTTAAAAATAAAGTCTCTCAGTCAATCAGAAACTCGGATTCACGCCTTCAGGGAAAGTCACGTTTGGACGCTCACATTGATTTTGTTTTTCGTTTGGCGGTCTGATGCATTCAGTGTAGCTTTTGCCGCTTCCGACATAGAAATCTTCTGAATCTTCTTTCTACCTCTCTTTCTCTTCCCACCACGCATAATGTAATGATAAAAATTAGGAAAAAAACGCTGAGGAAATATAAAATATAATGTTTGGTTTGCTAGCGAGCGAGAACTGATTTGAGAATAATTGCACATGCGCGTGATTGTCAATCAAAAGTCCTGTTATTTGCTTACTCATGCAAATTAGGCAATTGGATATAAACATTGCCTTGTGTGAGTGCTTATTATTTTTATCCAGAAAATAACTAGCAATTTTAACGGTGTTCCAATAAGAATTCATTGGTCAAATTTTCACAGAATCTTCTTTAGATAAAAATCTATATAAAAAACGAAAAAAACGAAAAAAACTAATTTTTAATTGAAATTCACAAATAAACTACATCTCTACCTTAACTGAAGACTCCTTTTAGAGGTTATAAACAGCAATCACAATCAAACCTCACACATACATCATACATGATATTATACATATGCACATCAATTTGTTTCATTTCATTGGCTGCTGTGCTGTCCCTGGATACCACATTTCATTGGCTGCTGTGCTGTCCCTGGATACCACATTTCATTGGCTGCTGTGCTGTCCCTGGATACCACATTTCATTGGCTGCTGTGCTGTCCCTGGATACCACATTTCATTGGCTGCTGTGCTGTCCCTGGATACCACATTTCATTGGCTGCTGTGCTGTCTCTGGATACCACTTTTCATTGGCTGCTGTGCTGTCCCTGGATACCACATTTCATTGGCTGCTGTGCTGTCCCTAGATACCACATTTCATTGGCTGCTGTGCTGTCCCTGGATACCACATTTCATTGGCTGCTGTGCTGTCCCTGGATACCACATTTCATTGGCTGCTGTGCTGTCCCTGGATACCACATTTCATTGGCTGCTGTGCTGTCCCTGGATACCACATTTCATTGGCTGCTGTGCTGTCCCTGGATACCACATTTCATTGGCTGCTGTGCTGTCCCTGGATACCACTTTTCATTGGCTGCTGTGCTGTCCCTGGATACCACATTTCATTGACTGCTTTGCTGTCCCTGGATACCACATTTCATTGACTGCTTTGCTGTCCCTGGATACCACTTTTCATTGGCTGCTGTCCTGTCCCTGGTTATAGCATATGCATGCTTGTGATACACTGGATCCCATGTCAGATCGTTCTTCCGTGTGAGAAATGAAATGAATCTTACTCTATTTTGTTGTATTTGAAACATGATTCTTATGTCACATTTTTCTCAATAGAAACTGTTTTTCGAGACAAAGGAGGTCGAAAAAGAAACTTGAAAACTGAGAAAATTAAACAGCGTGAAGAAGAGGCTAAGAAAGCTGAAGAAGCAGAACAATATATGCAGTGGGGTAAAGGGTATGTACAATTTCAATTTGTTTAGTTGTTGCCAAGGAGACCATACAACAGATATACATCTGATATTTGGGTAGTGGGGATTAGGGAAAGCTTAGTAGAATGACTGGTACAACTGTAATATCTTTGGGTGTCTGTTGAGACTGGGCAACTCTGGGAATCAGAAAATACACGACAGTGCCTCCCACAAGAAAAATGGGGTCGCTCTGCTGCGATGGCACACGATACTTTTACAGTCTTGCAATCATCTTTGACCTTTATGCATCTGCTTTACTGATTGGCTAAGAATGACATCACTACTAGTATTTCATCATAAAGGTCAAATCATTACATTGCTTTCTTATCAGACTCGATGCTTATCAATCACGGTGAAAGCAAGCAAGTTTCGGCGGTTGGAATGTCTCACTATATGAATATCGCAGTGGGCTTGAAATAGGAAGTTTTTTTTTCCAACGACAGAAGAATAGTTTTCATGACAGAAATGCAATAGCGGTGATGAAAGATGGTAAAAAAGTTGGCAGTGTTCGGCGTGACATTGCAAAATTGCTGCCCCCAGTTATGGATTCGCAAGCTGCTACCAAATATTTTATAAAGCCAAAATAACGAGATTTCAACCACTCTCTCCCAGGTACATTGGTTTCATTGTCAACAACGACGCTAAAGCCAAACGAGTGCGACACTTGCTTCGCAGCTCTCCTTATACGATTTGCTTGAATCGTTTCTGAGGAAGCACAAACCAAACGGCCGGCCCTTTTTAGGGCCACCACATATTTTTAAAAGAGAACTACCGTTTCTGCTTTAATATATATTTTTATAGACTTGCTGACTGATTCTGAAAAAAAATCTTGAAAAATGTAAATTAGCGTTGAACACGCTGCCCTGAAGGCAGAATGCGAAATACCTATTTTGCTGTTATAGCTATTTCACGTTCACCCCTTGTTTTACGCAATATTAACAATTATATTTAAAGAATTTCTATAACCATCACGACAGACTTCAAGAATGTCAAATGTTAATACAACCACAGTCAATGAATAGAAAATAGTTTTTTGTTATTTTTTGTGTAGAAAAACACCCCCTGGGCGTGTACCCGAATATGACCTCAACTTCTTTATTAGTCCCCGTTCAGGCGCAGCCTGAAAAGGGAACTTTATACTTCAGGTTTTGTCCTTTTTTCGTCTCCAACATTTTCTCAGAAATTCTACAGCAGGTATCAGTGAAACTTGGCAGGTTGATGAACAAGCGTCTTTCGAGTATGCACGTAACTTGTTTTCCAGATCTGAAAATCCCAAGTGGGTCTTTTTCACGATTTTTATCAAAAATTACCTCTCCCGGCAACATTGACAGAACATCTGCGCATGCTCAGAATAAATTAATTACTGTAAAATACTTTATTTTTGCTTGCAACATTTTTTTGCTAATTTCGCTGAAGGAATGTTTCAGTTAAAATAAAATCCAGCGAATATTCCCTTTTTCCTATATTTTACAGTCAAACTTGTCAAAAATCAATGAAAATAAATTCAATACAAAAAACAGCCAGAAAAAGTCTTTTCAGCGAATGATAATTCCAGCTGAAATAAAATATTTTACAGTAGATTAGATCTGTGAGTAACGCTACAGCACGTGATTTCTTCCATTGCATGCAATTTATTATAGTACT